GAAGGTTTCACTGCGTATTTGAATCTTACTCAGAGGAGAAGAGTTTCATTCGCTCCCTTGTCTGTTATCTTTACTTCAACGTCGAAATTCCCGCTGCATACCTACTCAGCGCCTTCTACCATGGGAGGTAACTCCAAATCGTGTCTTCTCATTTACGAACATAAAATCGAAATTAAAAATCTATTAAATTTAATTTATTCAAATTTAAAATAATCTTATGTCTAAAATTTTCGCTTTTCAAATTTCAAAAAAATTTACTGATAACAATTTTAAAATAAATTAAAATTTCACTTATATTTTTTAACTTGTTGAAATTTATAGAGTTCGTCAGACATAATTGTTACTCTGTATTTCATCAGTTGTTTTTGATTTTGAACAGACCGTATAATTATCATAGTAAAATGGAGTCAAACATTGAATGGAGATCACTGATTGGGGACAAAAGCATTTATAGACGAAAATCATAAATACCAAAAATGATGGTCTAAAAAAAACGGCTCAGAAATATACATGTTAATAAGCGTCTTCTCTTGACGAACACAGTTCGATTCTCCCACACTACAATCGGAACAAATATCCAATTATCACAACAAGTTATGATACAATCTCCTTAAAAACTCGCTTTGTCTTTGACTAAAATTTTTCTTCGTTCAACCCAGATCGACGACAGCCTCTACGACATAACGGGTGGACCATAATAAATGTCCCAATTTCGCATTTTATTTTTCCACAACTTAATACGTTGTATTAGAAAAACAAAATATACCACAGGATGCAGCGTAAAAAGCTCTACAATTTATACAAGGCAGCTTTTCCTACAGTTACACTTTTTGCTTTCAAAACCAATAAAATATAGAGCGATCAAATTTTGACTGTGCGAAAATGATTTTTTTTTGGTAAAAGATGAATTCGTTTTTTCTCGTTTCATCTTTTTATTACCTGATATCTTCTATTTAAAAGAAAACAAAACATACCATTAGATGCAACAGGAGAAGCTCTACAATTTATACAAGACAGCTATTCTTACAGTGGTACTTTTTGTTTTGAAAGCTATCAAAAATTCTGAGCGATTAGATTTTGGTGCTGCGAAAAAGTCATTTTTCAATACACGACCAATTTGTTTTTTTCTTACTTATCATCTAATGTGTTTTATTAAAAAGAAACAAAATACATCACAAGATGCAGCTTGACAAGCTCTACAATTTATAGAAGACCGCTTTTTTTTATAGGTGCACTTTTTGTTTCCAAAACCAGCTAAGCAATCAAATTTTGACCACGCGAAAACAGTATTTTTTTTCTACGAGATAGATTGTTTTTTTCTTATTTCGTCTTTTTATCACCTGATATCTCTTATTAAAAAAGCAGCAAAATATATCACTAGATGCAGCGAGAAAAGCTCTACATTTTGCACGCGACAGCTTATTATAATCGTTTTGTATAAAAGCAAAATTCTCTGCGATCAATTTTCGCACAGTCGAAATTTAACCGCTCCAAATTTTGATCACTTGTAAAGTAAAAAGTGCAACTATAAAAAAAAGCGGTCTTGTGTAAATTGTAGAGCTTTTCACGCTGCATGTTATGGTATATTTTGTTTTTTTAAAACAACGTATTAAGTTGTGGAAAAATGAAATGCAAAAGTGGGACATTTATTATGGCCCACCCGTTAGTAATTTATCTTATGGAGAATAAGGTTTTAAACTGCGTCTCGTATATTATTATTGATACCCAAGATCGTCTTATTGATGTACGTGAAAATCGTTACTCAAAATTACAACAATGTATTTATGTGGTTATGGATGAAGCCGATTGAATGATTCGCAACAAAAAATTTAATTATTTATTTGGTTTTATTAGTTTTTTCTTATTCTAGATTTTAGTTTTGGAATTGACGTTACACGTGTTCCTGAATATTTACTAGTGACAAATCAAAACCAAATGATGAAGTTATAGAAGATACAAGATAACGACAAAAAATAGTTTTCCTTATTTTGTATTAAAACATTTTACTTCAAAAGATAAATACCGTCAAACAGTGTTGCTCACAGTAACAATTACACCAGTTATTGAACATTTAACATGTATATTTCTTCCTCGTTGTCATTGCTCAACATCTGCTTCTGTTGGTTCAGTTTATAAACCAGGTGAATATGTTGAACAAATTCTTATTTTTGATTTTTTTTCTTTATTTCTATCAGAGTAGAAAAGGTCAAGTAAGTCGAAATTTAGCTTTTGTCTCAATTAAAACAAAGTCAAAAAGATATTCTTGTCGCAACAGATATTGTGATCGTGGTGTTGATATAAAATATATTTCACTTGTATTAGATTATGATATGGCTAACGAGGAAAGGTCCCCAAGTGCCACGCTCCGTTTCGAATCTGGCATTGGCCATTTTGTAGAACTCAGTGAGTACAGCACGTAATATAAAGGGTTCGTCCCCATAATGGACTTTTAATGAACTACGAAGTACCACAAAGGACGTCCTATAATGACTGAGGATAAATTGTTAATGGTATTTTTCATACTTTTTCTCAATGTAGAGACCTGAAATTTTTATCACATATATATCTAACCAAGATCTTTTATTCCTGAAAGTTTCAGCTCTCTAGCTATAACTAGTAGTGAAATACATAGATGAGATTGAAACACCAATTTTCGTACAATGAAAATAATTCAAAAATCGAGTGTGAAAATTTGAGTTTCAATCTCATCTATGTATTTCACTACGAGTTATAGCTAGAGAGCTGAAACTTTCAAGAATAAAAGATCTTGGTTAGATATATATGTGATAAAAATTTCAGGTCTCTACATTGAGAAAAAGTATGAAAAATACCATTAACAATTTATCCTCAGTCATTATAGGACGTCCTTTGTGGTACTTCGTAGTTCATTAAAAGTCCATTATGGGGACGAACCCTTTATATTACGTGCTGTACTCACTGAGTTCTACAAAATGGCCAATGCCAGATTCGAAACGGAGCGTGGCACTTGGGGACCTTCCCTCGTAAGACAATTCAAAGTAAAAGAAAAAAAGAAACAAATATGATTTTTATTTTTTTAGGTTATATACATCGTATTGATAGTACAGGTTATCACCTGTATCACAATGTCTACCTGCATTACTTAATCAAACTGATGTACAACATGAACTTGGTTTGATATTTTATTTCTTTTTTTTATTAAAATTATGCGTTTGCTTAAATACAAAAAACTTTATTTCTTCGACTTATGTTTCGGTTTCTTTGTCTTATTATTGTCTATTATCGATAAAGAAATATCTAATGAAAATGAAATAATGACATACGATATATTTATAGGTCTAGGTGTGGATGTTAGTGTTCTCTTGCTTCACAGATGCACTCACACCTACATTCACAACTCAACATCCACTCACATCCCCACCTAACCTGAACGACTTCGATTTTCTCGGACTCGGTTCATGCCTACCCACAACTCTACACCCACACTCACACGCTATACCACATCCACACCCACCAAACCAGAGCCAATAGAGCTGACGGAGCCCTAGACCGAGCCCAAACTGCTCCGGCTTGATCCATACTTACCCATACCGATACATCTACATTCCAGCGACCACACCCAAATCCGAAAGTATTGATAAGATACTTAATAAATTATGTATGAAACCGAAAACAATTATTTTCTATTATAATGTCGAAGCACGACACTTAGCCAATTATTATTATGAGGTAATGCATATTATTCTACAACAAAATTAACAAATAATCAAGTAATGATTTTTTTCGTGCAATTTGCTTTTTTAGTTATGTTGATAGTAATCAATTGAACATACAAGATTCACGTGCGTGTTTTTGGTCTTCTTATGGTTCTTCTCTTCCTAAATGTTTAGGGTGTGGGTGGGTGTGGGTGTGAGTGTGTGAGTGTGTGGGTGTGTGGGTGGGGGTGGGTGTGGGTGTGTGGTGTGGGTGGGTGTGAGTGTGGATGGGGGTGGATTTGAGTTTTCTTAATTCCACTCTCACACCCACACCCACAGAAAATGATTGTTTTTCATGTCATATACTAGTCGATACAAGATAATTTTATTCAAAAGAAATTTATTTTTTCATCATTTGTTCAAGACTATGATGAAAACGTGACATTGATGTCAGTCTTCAAAGATTATCAACTTCGATCAATGTTGAACTTTTGTACTCGATGATTTCCATAGTCACTCACGTAGAGATTACCTTCTCTATCAAATGACAAACAGGTGGGATACGAGAATTGATTGGATTGACTTCCTTGACCATTTCCACCAGCGATGACACTTCCCAGTGCAGCTCCTTGAGTCCAACGCATTATTCGATTATTTGACTGGTCAACCACGTAGACAGTACCTGATTGATCTCCGACAACTCCGCCAGGATTTGACAATTGTGCAAGACTATTTCCTTGACCTTGACCACCAGCCACAACAATGCCTTGTTTCGCACCTTTCATCCACTTTATCACACGATGGTTACCGTAATCTGATACATACACTGAATGATTTCGATCAATAAACACGTATGTCGGATTGCTCAGCTGATCGAGACGATTTCCTTGTCCATTTCCACCTGCAACCACTGTTCCTTGACTTTCTCCCATTCGATATCGTCTAACTTCATGTTTATCATAATCAACAATGTAGAGAAATCCATCGTTGTCTATTGTCAAGCCAAAACATCTAACGTTTGCGATAATCGTTTCTCCATTTGTACCATTTTGGCGAGGCCATCGAACTACTCTTCTATTTTCAAAATCACAAATAATGATATTATCGCTTTCTTTATCAACAATCACATTTCTCGGATACTGCAACTGATCAGGACGGTGTCCTTGTCCACTTCCACCGGCCACAACTCGACCAGTTGTTGCACCATATTTCCATTCCATAATCCGATGATTAGAATATTCAGCAATGTAGATAGCTTGATCATCATCGACATACAAACCCCATGGATTGTTGAGCTGATTCATTTCGTTACCTTGTCCATTTCCTCCAGCCACAGTAACACCATTCTGTATCCATTTTGCATTGACATTCAAATTTGCACTGCGTAGCAAAGGTGCTGAAACAGAACAAAATTTTCATTCATGTACATTGGATCAATGTGCGTGGATGAAGATGGAAATTCGAAATGAAGAGCTTTGATTGCGAGAGAGAAAGAAAGAACAGTTTTTGTCAATTTTCATATTAAGCCGTGCCTTAATAGTAATCTCGTTGTTTTGATACTTCGAATAATGGAAAATCTGAATGCTTTTTTTAAAAGATGATGAAGATTCGAATGAAAGATCGAAGTTTTTCTTCATTTCACCATCATCTTAAGACTTTTTAATTTTTAAAGAAGCTTTGATAACAGAATGTCATTATTTATCATCATAATTAGTGAAGAAAATTTGATATCTTCTCTATTCTATTATTGTAAGTCTTGGCTCAAAAATAGTCGAGAAATTTCGATCCGTTCATGGTTCAAGGTCGAAAAATCGTTTTCATTCTCCTCCCAACACACTTAAAGAGAAGTCAACTTTTGCGTTTCTCTCTGTTGAGTGCATTAATCGTATGCACTCAAAGTGTAATTCTTTTAATTCTCTTATTTACATATTCAACTGAAGAATTGATAATTAATCAATTTTTTTCTTAAAAACTGTATATTCTTTCAATTGTAAATTATGGATTACTCGTGTTACGATAAAATGTCGACATCAGAAATGGATAAATTGGTTGATGGATATGAATTTAAAAAGATAACTGACGAATGCAAACAAGGAAACCCGCAACAACCTACACCTGATGACATTATATTAACGCCTAAACGAAAATATGATGATATAGACAACGATATATATGAAGTTGAAAATGATGAATTTCAATCTGTAAGAAGAAAAAATCGAAAAAAAACTCGTCAACTACTAAGCTTAGAAAATCAAAATACTGAAATGGAAAACATTAACCGAACGACCTGTCAAGGTCAACAAGTACGAAGTCAAAATCAGATGGAAAGGAAAAATAACACCGGACATGGTATGATCATAGTTAATTCGCAAGTACAAAAAAATGTACTTAAAAAATCACACAATATTGGTCAACAACAAACTGACAAAGAAAACATACAACATCATGTTAAAAACGATATAATTGAACAAGCATTACACTATGCAGTTATACAGCAATTGCCACCTATAAAAATTAATTGTCAACTCCAGTTAAGAACCATACTGAAGGAACTATATTGATCAAAGCCTTGTTCTCTTATATTCATGATAAATTTCTTAAATTAAATAAAACTTATACTCGTCCTATTGGTTTTGGTACTTGGTTTGTCGATCAACAGGGCGGATTAACATGCTTTACAAAAGAAATAGAATTACTTGTATACTTATGGGATGTTACTCATTATTCCGAAAAATTATTAAATACAGTTATTACACCTATACCACCTATTCATTTACCTCCACAGCATTCAATAATCTTTAAATTTGTACCAACTTCAATCTCTTTTGATGAATTGCAGGAGGCAATATCTGATATTTGTCAAGCAAAATTTTTTTTAGAAGAAATGAAAGGTTCGATCTCGAATAAATCTCGTCATATTCGTTTAGACCTGGCTTCAAAAGATGAAATGAAAAAATTGCTGAATAGTGGTGTATTTCCATTAAATGGACAATTACTGGAAATAAAGGAATTTTTAGCACCACCACAAGTTCTTATATGTCAACGATGTAAGCGACCAGGTCATATTAAAAAGGATTGTGATGGACATTTCGATCGATGTAAACGATGTGGGTTGGACAGATCACAAGATGATCATCAAAACTGTCCTATAAAATGTCATCATTGTGAATGTCAACACCTGTCTACGGATTATCGATGTCCAATTATTGCAAAATTTAGAGGTGATTTAATTGAGGAACTTAAACGTAGACCGGAATTATTGCCAAGTAATACGCAACTATTCATTCCAATTGATTTTAGAAATGGTGGTAAAAATGTAATAAATTCTATACGAACTAATCAAATTCCTTTACAGACATCTCTACTGAATTCTAATTCAATTGATTGGCCAGTACTCAATCCATCATTAACTACAGCTAAAGGAAATGTATCAACTTTACATAATGATATGATACAAGAAATAAAAGCATTAAGATATGATTATGAAAAATTAAAAGCAGACTTCGATCGTCGTGAAGCAGAACTAATGAATAAACATGAGAATTATAAAACTAAATTAAGCACAATGTTAAATCTTTGAGTGTTACAAAATAACCAACAAAATGAATGTATCTCAAAGGTTTACACAGTGGTAAATGAGACAGTACCTATTATTGCTGATTCACTCAAATTAATTCATACATTAATTGAAAAAGTTGTTGAAATTACAAATGATTTAAATCTAAAGAAGGAATACGATGTTTATCGACATACTATTGAACAAAGTTTAATTATGCTTAATGATAGAAACGATCTTAGTATTGAACACCAACGTGCAACATCTGTTTTAATTGAAAAATCTAATGTTTTATTTCGTCAAGGTATCGAACTATTGACACTAAATGAACACTAAAACTTTTTATTACTCTCCGTCTTTCAAACCTCTTTCTGTTCTTGACTCTTTTTCTGGAACCCCCTATGAAAGGAAACTGCTAAAGGAAATCTTAGTTGAATGGAATAAACGTATTTCGTTGTCCGACATGTGTAAGAATTGGAACAAAAAACGTCCTGTCCAACAATACCAAAGTCTCCTATTTTTAATCTATAACGTTGAAGGATTAAATACTCATATTACAGATATGGACATCTTAATGAATAAGTATAAACCGCATATATGTCTTTTATCCGGTATAGGAGCAGCAGCTAAAAAACTCCCCTCCTTTCCAGGTTACCTAGCTTTTTCACAAGTAGGTAGTAATTCGTTTGGTGGTGTTGCTATTTATTATAAAAAAACAATGAAATGTCAGGTGATTGAAAGAGATACAAATTTCATCATGATCGAAACAGACGTTATTGGCACTAAGTTAAGCATAGGAGCAATATATGTACCACCTAATACATCATTACCTTTCCATCAGCTTTCTAAATACAAAGATAAACCTTTTGTAATCTGCGGAGATTATAATGCAAAACACTCTTATTGGAATTGCCCAAAAAATAATTCAAATGGAAATAAACTTTTCAATTGGATAGAACATGCTGGTGTAGATGTTATTGCTCCTAGTAGAGCAACATCACGTAAATCAGAAGTTCTAATAGATTTTGGTATTACGAATGATGCGAATAGTTGGCAAGCTGAAGTGTTAGATGAGGGTACATCTGATCACAGACTCTTACTTCTGCAATCTCCTTACTGTATAGATGAAGGAACCCGCTTTCGTAAGACCAATTGGAAAGTTTTTTCATTCTTTTTAACAATCGTTTTTGAATATTGGAACGCACTGGTCTATAATTTAGATACAAATTCATTTATCGAGCTTTTTTCTCTATTCTTAGCAGCTTTATGGGACCGATGTAGTACCTATGAACAAGTAGAGAAATATAGACCTCCATGGCCCCCTTACTTAGTCCTACTTGCAAGGGAAGTAAATAAATGTCGACGCCGCTATAGACGTACTCGTTAACCAGTTCATCTTGAAATGTTCCTGAATATAAGAAAGATTTTCATTTGTGAACGAGACATATTCGTGCTACATAAACATGAAGAAAAAATGAAATGGATAGATGAAAAACAGAATATATGGAAATATGTGAAACCTATTTTTCACACTTTTACACCTTCTTTTCGTGGATTAACAGTTGACAATGGTATGAAAGAAAAACGACCAGACGAAATAGTTAATCTACTTGCAGATCATTATGAAAATCATTTTTCAGTTCCTGTATATGATGTATCTCATTCAGCCCATAGCCTTTCGGTTGTGGCATATGAAGAGGTTGCACTTTTACCGAATCTCTCACTTGAGAAAATCAAATACGAAGAGGTATTAAAAGAATGGAAAAAAATTCGCCCGAAAAAGTCAACTGATAGTGCAAATACATCTGCATTCTTATTGAAAAAATTACCTCCACAATACATCTTTACTATTACTATACTATTTAATCACTGTGCAGAGAATGGTGATTTTTTCAAGATGGCAAAACACGCCAAAGTAGTGTGCTTATCCAAAGACGGTCTATTTCCTACAGTCAACAAACTGAGACCGATTTCCTTGCTGCCGAATATAGGTAAATGGTTTGAGCGCATTGTGCATAATAGAATGGTGTAAAGGAAACAACATCTACACGGATGAACAAAGCGGATTCACAGCGGAAAGAAGGCTTCAAACTAGAACATTGTCCTTAATAAAGATTTAAGAATGACGGTGGCCGCAAATAATAGACCAGCACTGGTTTTATTTGTCGATTTCCTCAGTGCCTTTGATAATATGTGGTATCCATCACTAATCAAAAATTTGAAAACTTTAGGTCTACCAATACCGCTTCTGAAATGGATCTATAACTGGTTGCAAGAAAGAACGCTCTCAATTCATTTTGGTGAAGTTCATTCACGTACTATATCTATGGGTATTGATGCACCTCAAGGATCAGTTCTTGCAGCCACCCTGTTTCGGCTTCATGTGCACTTTTTGCCATCTTATTTTTTCTCACTGACATCACATATGTTCGCTGATGATTTAGCTATTCAGATTTCAGGTGACTTAGAAAAAAAATTCTCGTTAAATATTATTGAATTAGAAATGAGAGCTAAATTCGTACTAGAACAATTAGGAATCTTTGCCGATGATAATATTCTCCCTATAAATGTGAATAAAACAAAAGCCCTTCTGGTGCATAATGTAGTCGCTCCATTAAAACCGAAACTAGAGTTTAGAGGACAACAAATCGAATATGTAAAACGTTTCAAATATTTAGGAATAACAATTTCCACTAAACTAGGATGGGATAATTTCATTAGTGCAAGAATACAAAAAATAAGAAAAGTTTATCAGGGAATGAAAATACTTTTCTATAACATCCCAAAAGAAAAAATTAATATGTGAAAAAGAATTTTTTCTGCCTTCGCCATGCCACATTTTATATGGTTATTCTCCACATGGTTTTTCTTTACCGACAAACAGCAGAGATATATTGAACATGTATACTGTTTTGGTATAAGATGTGTGTTTTTATTATCAAAATGGGATGATGAAACCACCCTTATACTGAGTAGAGAAAAATCTCTTCTCGATCATTTACATGCCTATTGGCCCAGATTCACCATACATCTCACACAATCACCTGATGCATTATGTTTTCAACAATCATGGCGAGCTTATAATATCATAAAATCCTCTGATCAAAGATGGCACAGAAGCATGGGACTGAATAAAAGGAATCGTTTCCTAGCTAGGTTACAACAAAATGCTAAACATTCCTTAAACGACTGGAACAATTTTGAACAGATTCACAAACAACAAATAAACCATTTCGAACCCATGGTGTAAATTTCTGCGAAAAAAACGCGTTCTGAAAACGCATTTTTCCATAGATGCAAAACGCGTTAATGCTGACCGGTTTGACGCGTTTCACATCTGCTAAAACAAACGCTGTGTAACGATTGTTTTTGTGAAAGATTTTGCAGCGTTTCTCAAACTGTGGTATCATACATTATAGATGGAAAAAAAACTGAAAACCGTCAATGACTTCATAGATCTTGAATTGCAGGTACAATTTATATACTCGTTTACATTTTTTCATAGACCTTTAGAACTATAACTTACATGAATTTTGATGCAGTCAAGACATGGATTCGAACACGAGAACATAGGAGTATAAGACATATATACGAACCGTTCAACTAAAATAAGCTGATGATATAAATGTTTATTCTACTGTCATTTAGAGTCTCGCGTAAACTTACTAAATCAGACTTTCAGTTTCCATTCTACTGAACTGAAAATTATTATTTCTTTGGTGCCCATGTCCAATTAATGTGGTCTTTTCTTGATACATTTTTTATTTAAACTCTTTCAGATTTAAATTTAGATATTCAATAGAACCGAATTTAATCGATTTAAATTATATTTAATATTTAAAAAATTAAATTTCTTATATATAAATTTTAAAAAATTTAAAATTTAATCTTTTATTTATTTTCTTGATTTAATAAATTTTTGTAAATGTGAATCTGCCATCGTTTTCTCCAATTACATCAATAAATGAAGGGAGTTTTCTTTTGTAAGTCGAATCTCTTTTATTAAAAAGTCACTCTTACTTCAACAATGTACAAACTAAAATCATGTTTACTAGTATTGTACACAGTATCATTATTCATTATCAATTCGTTCGAGTATGAACTCATACTAATAATTATTCAAATTATAGATAACGTGATAATTATTTTGTTCACAAATAATCAAAGAGAGTTGCCATACTAATTATATTAGTATCAATCTTTACTAAATCTTTTCAAAATGCTCAATATTTAAAACGATTCTTAAGTAAACCTTACGAAACATGTTTTCTTTCAATAAAAACGTGGTGAAATGAGTTTTTAAGTAAGCAGAATATATTTTTGTTACACTTTGATGTTTTACATTAGTCTAACTTCGAAATAAGTCTAGATAACAGCCTAGCAGTCTCAAAATTTACAAGACTTTGATTTTACTCTTACCTTCATAAAATCCTTGGTCATGATTTTCACGTAAAAATATGTGCAAGGAGCAAAACTTTAAGTGCTATTTCATATCATTTCCAAAGTAATTTTAAAGAATTTACTTTGGTTAACTCATATGCTTTGTGTTGGTGAATTTCTGCAAGATTCTGTATGCAGAACGGATATATTTTGCATCATTCCAAGCAAAAACAATCCAACGTACATTTGAAAAAGGAACGCGTCCCACCTTTCCCTCAATTTGCACCTGTGAAACGCGTCGCCTGTCGACCAAACTGCGTTCGACAACATTTGAATTCGGAGACGCCTCGAAACGCAATCTTGAAAAAAGCGTTTCGGATCGTTTCTAAAAACGACGGTGTCAAAACGCATTTTATGTAAGTGAGAATGCTGCGAAACGCGTCCTGTATTGAAAAAACGTTGCGAAACGCATGCTACAATCTCGAAAACGCGTTACGCGGTCCGTTTCCTTCAATATTTTACTCCATGGGAAAGAAATACTAAACAACTTAATTTGTTTATTTACAAATACTTTTTGTGCTCCATTCAAAACTGATTTATCCTTTAGCCGAATCCTTTCTATTCCCTTCTATTGAGAGGTATGAATTGTATTTTTGGAAACAAACCAGCTGTCTTTATTATTGTTTTTCTCTCTTCTTTTCTTTTCTTATATTTTTTTATTAAAGTGAATCACTAATGGCACAAATAAATCGTTATATGAAAAAAAAAAGGTCGAAAAATCGTTTTATTTTAATGAATGTCAATTCTCAATATATGTCATTGCTGAGATTAACTTAAAAGAACTTCAAAAAATCTCAGATGATCTTCTTGTTTTCTTTGAATCGCCTCAAACATGATATTAGAGAACATAGGACACGAATCAATTTCAAGTCATCAAGTCTGAAAGGATCGTTTCTTCACCTATTCTAAATACATCATGATAGAATTATCAGTATTATCGAATGGTGTTCTAATTAAAATATTCAAAAGAGTTATAAGAATGTTAGACAGCAAAAAACACTCTTAAAATTCAACTTCATGTAACTTGTATTTCATCCGAAACTCAACATATCGTATCCATTTTCATGCTCTGAGTCGGATGTGTTCATGATTCTTCATCAAAGATTTAAAGTTTGTGTTGATCAGACGAGATACTTTTTGAGTAATGAAAAGAAGTAATCTTCAACTTTTGAAATATTCATTGACTATAGAAGAACTCATCAACTGGTGAGTCAAACAACTGTGTCGTAGGATAGAAAAACAAGAAGAGCTGAAAAAGAACTCTTTCTGTGATTCACTATTCTGAAAAGTGAACAATAGTTCCAAACAGTTATCAGATTGAGAAAGATCGAATAATTCAACGATCGCTACTTTTGTTGTGTTCGATTTTTTATCGAAGAAATAAAAATGAACGAGTCATTATGATACCTAGAACGTGCGCATTACTTTCTTCTTTTTGTTGCAAATATTCGACACCAAGAAAGTCTCACTACGATAAAATCGGATAAAACTAGATAAACGAATGATGTTAATGAGTGGGTGTGGGTGTGGATGCATCTCTTCTTTATTCACACTCACACCCACACCCTGCTCGGATAAAATATTAATAATTGAACTATGTAGACAATTGATATTTTTTCAAGTATTCAATGATTCTATATCATCACTCTGTTCAAAAAACAGACTACTGTAATTATCATCGATGAGATTTACTCTTTTTTAAGATAATTTGTCAGTAAAATTGTTTTTGTATTCAATCCTTATTTAGAATAAACAGATTCTCATTTCCGTCGATGAAGTTGAAATATTCATAAATTAAAGTTAATGATTCCAAATAAATAAAGTCAATGTCCTTCTCATTGTTGAAAGTGAAATTGTTACAATTAAAAATAATTAGAAAAAGTGAATTCCACGAACCAATAGAAAATCTTTCAATTATTTTTATTCTCGTTGAAGTTTTCTTAATTCATTACAATAAGAAAAGAAAATTTTCTATTCGAATAGATTTTGCTAAGGGACTCAAGTGTCTCAAATCTCAACATGAATAAAAGAGTACTCTAACCTATACCATATGAAAAGTGATCTTATATTAGATTTAATGTTAATCTTCAATAGAAAATAAATATGAACTTTATATACATTGTACGAGTTTTGTAATCTCAATTGTTTAATAATGAAACTCTTTTCTTATATGAAATTAATCGTATCCAGAAAATTATTCTATGCCGTTTTCTAGAAACGATTTCTATTAAAATGCGAAATGAAATTTTCGAAAATTGGGTATTTTTCATTGTGAATGAAAATCTGCTCAATTGTATCAAAACGATAAGTTTCAAATGAGATTTAATTCAATTTTCTTGAAGATTGTTTATCTTTCGAACTAACTCTAATGTATGAATCAATTAGTTTAGGTCGATTAATGAAAAGGAAGAAAAGTACGATTGACTGACAAAAAATATTCGATTGTTTTGTTAGAGAATTTCTTTTCTTCTAGGACTTTAGTTCAATGTACTCACAATTTTGTTGTTGTTGTTGCTCTCGGATGTAAATGATTTGATTCCAATCAATTTGATTATTAACAACAAGGATGGCTTTGGTTGTACCTTTCTGAGTAAATTGTTGAAGTTTATTTTGTATTTCATTGATTTTTTGTTTAAGTCGATCAATATCATCTTCAGCAAAATTTTCTTCTTCTCTCAGACAACGAATTTCTTTTGTGATCGGTTCAAGTTGTTTTATTGTTGTTATTCTTTGTTTATCAATTAATTCGATAAGTTCATGATGAGCTTTTTCGGCTGCTTGTTTTACTTTGTTGATTGTTGTTTTTTTCCATTGTTCAATTTGATCAAAAAGATCCAATGACAAATAATTTGATTTTTCTAATTTTTGTATTTCCTCAAGAAGTTCATCATGTGATCTCACGATTTCATTATCGAATTTCATCGATAGTTGCTGTTCATGTTCTCTGAAATCCTTCCGACAAAAATATTTTTTACATCCAATGCAAAAAGATTTAGCTGAAGGTTTATTACAGATTGAACATAGATTTGATTCATTTACTGTTGCCATTTTCCTTAGAAGAAAATTACTCGAATTATATTATTTATTATGTAGATATCTCGAATAATTTCGATCTAAAATAAATCCATATGAATATATCTAAAGAAATAATTTTAAGCGATTTTCTAAGTATAATTTGTTTATGATTCGAAACGAAACCTCATTCAACCATCTGAAGTATGATTTTATCTGTGTTTAAATAAAACATAGAAAGAAAATTAAATAAATCTTCAATGGATTTCTATGCGTATGGCTTAACAATTACACAAGTCTTGATTAAATTTGATTATCGCGAAGATTTCATAAACTCTTTCTAAGAAGAAACCAAGTTTCATGAAAAAAAATCGACTTAGGCCAGAAGATGTTAGAATTCGTTGAAAATATATCTGAGTTTAGTATATGGATTTGTCTATGAAGAATAACGATGTTTTCAATAAGTGAAAACTCATTTTCGATTCGTGAAACATGATCACAAACTGAAAATGAAGAAAACCTCTGTGGCAGTTTTACTCCTATGAGTTAACAATCGAAAACTGTGCAAAATAAGCGATGATTTTCCATATAAAACTTTTGTTTTGTTTATTTTCATCGGGTGTAGGTCTTCTCTTTAACCACATACAGTCACACCCGACAAAAATCTTGCTAAAATCTGATTGATCGAAAGGAAAAAGTTCCTAGATAATCAGATTTGAGCAGAGGTTTTTCTTCACAATTATCCGGAGAAAACATAGCATTGCCCGGGCTGATCAGGAGATAGGCGGGATTTCCGTTTTAAATTAACCGAACAACGCCATGATGAGTTCTTATTGCAGTAGAGAAAAACTTAAAATTAAATGATATTCCCATCACATAATCATTGAGACTTAATTTTATGTAAATTAAATGGTAAGTAGAAAAAGTTAAAATTCATATTAAGTGCTACGTGATTCATCAACACTCAATATTCAGAAATTAATTGGTAACTGTTGATCTTTTTTACCAATCTTAAGGGTTAAATAACAATACTTAATTTAATATTAAGTTAAGGTAAATGGTTCAGTCATGCAACAAACAGAAAAGGACTTCAATAGATTCAGTTATTTCTACACACAAATTTCTTACTCACAATTCGATGAAATATGTGTGTTGTTGCTTCGTACGAAGACATGCTTTGAAAAGTGACGCGTTGTGCAAATAAAAGAATAGAACACAGTCAAAGAGCTCATGTTTTTTTTCCTGCGAAACAAACGAGAAAAGCAAAAGACTTGTTCGTCTCGAATGCAACAAATATTGAAAGAGATGTCTTTCAAAAGTAAAATTTCTCCACAGCTGACTCACTCAAATAGAAAGGGTGTGGTGTGGGTGTGAGTGTGGGTGTGTTGGTGTGGGTGAGTGTGTGGGTGTGGGTGTGGGTGTGGGTGTGGGTGGTGTGTGGGGGTGGGGGTGGGGGTGGGGGTGTGGGTGGGGGTGTGGGGGGGGGGTGTGGGTGTGGGTGTGGATGTGGGTGTGTGGTGTGGGTGTGGGTGTGGGTGTGTGGTGTGGGTGTGGGTGTGGGTGTGGGTGTGGGTGTGGGTGGGTGTGGGTGTGGGTGGGTGTGGGTGTGGTGTGGGTGTGCGATGGTATAGTGGGCGATGAGTGAAGAGAAAATCTATATCCGCACCCACACTCACACGCTGGGAACTTTTTAGTTATTTCAGGATTGCTATCAATCTGTGTTATGGAATATTAGGAGGTGTCCGGCCTATGTAAGCCTATCGGACAGTAAAGGTTGTGGATATGGGGGTCTCTGAAATTACACTCATAACCACACAGAAGATCAAAATTAATAATAATTTGAATCTTTCAATTTACAGTCAAAAATTCTTTTTTTCTTTCATATTTATTTTCACTAAAATCTATCTAACTATTTCTAATTCACAATTATAAATATCGAAAAAATCAAAGTAATTAACTTGATCAATTTTTTTTAATCAAAAAAAATATTTCGTTTGTGGTAGTTTTATATATTTTAGATCATGTGTTTACTATTAAAATCAAAGAATTACGCATGTTTATAAAGAATGTCTGCATTGACTTGATCAATAGATGTTAATCCACAACAAGCCATATCATAAGTCAATTCACTTTTTAATATATCCAATACTCTTTGAACACCATTATGTCCACCACAACATAATCCATATAAAATCGGTCGACCAATAAAAATAGCTCGTGCACCCAATGCTAATGCTTTTAAAACATCAGTACCAGTTCGAATAGCAGTATCAACAAAAACTAAAAAGGAATCATCAATAATCATAACATTCCACAAGATTTAGTCAAATCAATGGAGTTTTCAAGATTCAGAAGTTTTCTCTCGAGAATTTCCTATTCCTTCAACTGAAGGGAGGGTGATACGAAATGAAATGCGTTTGTTTGTTATCTTGCTTGATTGGGGCAAAAAAAACATACCAGAGAGGTTAGCTTATTTACGACTTTTGGCCGTTTTGATAGAACTTTGCGGGAGATTATCGAGGGTGAGAGATCCATATCTGAAATCAGGATTTCAAAATTCAGATCTTGAATCTTTCCCTTCTATGAGACGTGATGCTGAGAAACTGCGAGTACTTTGTAATGCGTGACAGCAGTGTAATGAATCAAGAAATACGAAGATAAGATGAAATTAGAGTACTTGTACAACAAACATTGATGAATGAGAGCGAATTACAAAAGTTTATTTAGGTTGACAGGATACAACGGCTGTGTTCACTTATTAAGAAGATTTCAGATTATCGGTAAGTCTATACTAACGAGTCCTCTTCCTGAATACTGATAAACTTCGAAAGAAAATTTCTAATGTGCATGACTTTTTTTGTAAAGGGATCAAACTTTCTATCAGTTTTTTAAACAGGAATGATGGCTCGATTTTGAAAACGGCATCGACCTTTCGTGAGTGTAAAGTAGCTGGAAGTAGCGGGTAGCCGTGAATGGCATCCCTTCGGAAGGCCGACGAACGAATAGCTGTGGCCAGCCTAGGCTTATCCAAAATCTGTTTTATGACATTTCTGCATAGCATTGAGCACGGTCCTTAAAAATGTGCCACTGAGACTTAACCAATGACACTTTATTTAAAGAAAGACTCCTAGGAACATGAAGAAACTCGAGAGACGACGTGTATATATTAAAAAGATATCTTGCTTTACATAGGAAATCTAGTACTCTTTAGTTATGAGTAGAGAAGCTTTTAAAGCACTTGAAATGTGGATTAGTCGTGCCTTGAATAAGAAAGTAGTCATTTAGGAATATGTGTTTAAAGATGGTGATAGCTAAGTGTGAGTATCGCCACGTCGGAACTCCGAATGTGAAATATAGTAGCTTCTATTTCTATTCACAATTCTTTTGTGTGAAATCATGTACTTAGGTTTCTCTCGATGGCGAGCTCAATGAAATCTTAGATTGACTAGCTAGGTAGGGGACTAAAACGCATAAGGAATAGTTCACAAGTGTTTTCACTTTTGAATTTCTCATGTAATAAATATAGGGAGTTTTGAAACTAAGCCAAATATCGAATCCAGTAAAATTTAAATGGCAGTATATGATCGTATAATTATCGAAAGAGAACGATGCATAACAGCAGTTAATCACGAGTGGCGCCCCACTGAGGCGCCGACGAGCGACTAACTGTTGTCCTAAGAAATCTCTTCAATTGAACGTTTCAGAAACGTCCAATCTATTGAAAGAATCTCTACCGTTTAAATCTTACTAGTTTTCATGGGAGGGAGAACTGGCAAGAGGGCTAACAAGTATATTTGAATGAAGTTGTGAGAACAGGTGTATAGAAGCTCTTCAGTATCGGAATCGAACATTTCCTAAGAAACGTCAATAAAACAATGTACATTGAATCATTAAAAGTAGATTTAAATCGAATGAATTAAATAATCTTTTGTCTTCATGGATACGTCGTCTGCCCATCAACTTGTCAAATTTTTCTCCCGGATGTTTGAAATTCATTGTTTAATCCCACAAAGATTCAGAGTTGAAACGTCATCCAAGTTGCATATACCTGATATTACTTTGGACAAATGTAGTTGTTTAGTCTGATAGCTCAGCTAAATATGCATTTTCGTAGCGGGTACCGGCCAGTGATATTACCAGCCTATGTGTTGATCAGTATACACATTATTAATATAGTTTGCAAGAAGTTTAGTGCATGTTCCCTGCAGTCACACTGATATGTTTTGTATATTGGTTTTCTCTGCAAGTCGAATGTACTATTTTTTTGTGGTCTGAGGATATTGCTGTATCAGTGGGTGTCATGTAGATTTCTTTTGAATGTTACTAACAGAGTAACAGATTAAATGAAAGAATGGTATAGCTAGCAGTATCACAACGATACCAATAGCACTGTACACGCCGACACAGATGTGTACATTAATGTTGACACCAGCACAAAGCCATGTGCAAATGTCCGATGCTAGCTTTTGCAAAACGTCTGCAGTAATAAATCACTACTGATGCAGTGAAATATTCAGTCGAGGGTTAAGCGAGTCACATAGACGAGCGTTACTTGTAATAAGTAGTAGCATATTAATTTAAACTCAAAAAACTTTTCCGAATAATATTCATATATCCAGCCTCTTTTTTTCAATGTATTAAAGAATATCTCTTCTGTCTACATACTCTTAATAAGTCATATCTACTATGAAAAGTGAATAACCTTGCGGAAATTTCTTATCGTAAATCTTTGAGAGCCAAAAACATGTTCGATATTGTCATTAAACAAACTTTACCTTCTGCACGTCCATCAACAACATTGATAATTTCTTTTAGACATTCAATAGCTGGTACTGTTGTATCAATCAGACGGCTACCATGATTACTAAATAACAAAAATGAACTATTCATTCAGCCAATAATAGAAAAATAAAAATGAACCTGACAATGATTCCATTTGCTCCATATTTGATCGCTATTTCTGCATCAATTGGTGAAAGTATTCCTTTACAAATAATTGGTAATCTTGTCAATTTCCTTAATCTTTCAAGATTTGTCCATGTTATTGCCTTCTTGGTCAAAGTTGGCTCACTGCATAAATCATTCATGTTTATGTTAGCCGTCTCTACGGTTTGAAATATAGTGGGATCAATATACTCTGATGCCTCCAAGAATAATGGCAAAATATGATCACGAACACGAGTAGTCGGATCATCACATGTAACAACAATTGCTCGATATCCTTTTTTATCAACTTGTGGAACTATTTTTTCTAAAATGTCGATGGGTGCAGTTAAATAAATATGGAAAAACTTTGGACCTAAGATCATAAATAGAATAAAAGTTAGATAGGATAATGCTTGAATATTACCAGTTGTTTGTAGAACTTTTTCTTCTGGCATTGTTGAATATACCCAATTATAAGTATAAATACATTTGGCTTCTGTTGCACCACGAGCAGTTGCAACTTCACCATCGATATGTGCCAGGCGATGGAATGCTGTTGGAGCAATGATTATTGGTGATTCGTATATGCATCTATATACAACTGAAAATATTCAATCTTCTCTATAAGAACTGTATTTTTGCTATTGACAATACGAAAGTGAAAGATTCTCTTTCAACATAATGCATTATTAGTTTTTATATAATAATAATTCTTACCCGAAAATCGTTGTTTTCAAGGAAACATTAGTAACATCAATCAAAATTCTTGGTAAAATTCTTAATTGTTTATCAAAATAATCTCTACATGCTTGATATGTATGTCCTTGACCAGCTTTGTAATCATAATAATGATATCGATGAGACACCATTAATTTTTTGGCTAATTCTTCAAAATCAAATAATGATTTACATTTTAAATATTCATTTTCCTATATCAATAATAGTAATAATAAATGGTTACTTAAATAAATAAGCATACTTTTTCTTCATTTTGCTTTTTCTTTTTCTTTTTCTTTTCTTGAAAATAATTTAGAAGAATTACAACAGTTGTCAATGTTGTACCAAGTAATACAATATATAATGGATTCTCTGAAAAATTCTTAGCTAATTTCTTTATTGTATTAATAAATGTAACTACTTTGCATTGATGCAAAAAAATGATCTATGCCAATTTGAAAATATTGTTGATTGAATGTTGAAATTCCTTAAGTGAAACTAACAACTAGGAAAGAAATACATATGATCATTGATATGAAAACATCATTGAGATGTATAATTCAGATCATCCTAACAAAAAATATCATCCTCATTAAAAACTATGGTGCAACAAAAAATCAAAAATTGAGACAGTTTGTCAATTCTATGAAAATTTAATTTCTTATATTGAATCTTTCTCAACAATAGTGATTAGTCAACAATTAACAGAAGTGACTTTTCTAGAATTACTTTTAGTGTATTATATCTTACTACAGGTTGTTACTCTTACCCGACAATAATATTTTTTTATTTCTTGTTGATCAATGCTATGTAGAATGAAAGAAACAGATCGAAAAACAAATGTATATGATGTAAACACGTAAATGTGGCATTGCATAGAGAAAGATAAGGTGAAAATATTAAAATATATATATGAATGTCATTAAAAAAGAAGAGAAGCCGTCGTCGTGCCATTAATCAAAAAAGCAATACTGCCTTGTACAAAAGTGGTAAAATGTTTTTACATTGGTTGAGATACAGATAAAAGTGGCTTCAATAAAAACAGAGTGCAGGTGTAGTTACATGATCCTGTGCTTAAATTGGGGTGTGAGTGTGGGTGTGGGTGTGGGTATCGGGGTGTGGGTGTGGTGGGTGTGGGGTGGGGGTGGATGTGGGTGTGGGTGGGGGGGGGGGGGGGTGGTGGCGGAGGTGGGCTGGGGGGGGGGGTGGC